ATTATCCATAATCTCACCTAATAATTTATATTTATGCTGATCCGGGGTTTTCGTGTAAACGTATAGGTGCTCGAACCGCAATCCATTTTCCTCAGTTAATAATTCAAACATAACATTTGTTTTACCACAATTTGATGGTCCACATATTATGCATCTTATTGTGTTGGGTAACAGTGGTCCATGTTTAGACTCGATGGGGTCTGTAAGATCCACGACATTATCGACTGATAGAGTATGTTTCTGTTTCTCAAAAAACATTATTAGCGCACGTTATTACTCGTCAAACGAATGAGTATAAATGATGAAAAACTCAAAAAACCTTTACAGTTATAAATTGAAAATGGTGCGAACAAGACGTGCGACAAAGCGAAGTGTAGGACGCGGTATTGTTAATTCAATAATTAATCGATTGCCTATTGAAATGCATGTTCCAGGGTATCAGTATTGTGGACCAGGCACAAAACTTAATAAATGACTAGCACGTGGTGATCCTGGAATAAATAAACTCGATGCAGCGTGTTGTGAACATGATATTGCGTACGCAAGAACAAATGATTTATCAGAACGGCATTTGGCTGATTACGAGTTGGAAAAACGTGCTTGGGACCGCGTAAAAGCAAACGATAGTTCATTTGGAGAAANTGCGTAAAAGCGAATGATAGTTCATTTGGAGAAAAGGCTGTTGCGTATGCTGTTACAAATACCATGAAAGCTAAAAGAAAGATTGGAATGGGTTTTGGTGGTGTACTACGAGTTGGACGTAAAGCTATGCGTAATTCAAAAGATATTAACAGTGCGGCAAACTTANAGATATTAACAGTGCGGAAAACTTAGTATTAGCAGCAGCTCGTGTTGCTGTAAAGCAGAAACAAAAATTTAAAACATCTCGCACTATCAAAGTACCTAAATTTTGTGGTGTGCTCATTCCTATTTTTGCTGGACTTTCAGCTTTAGGATCGTTGGCTGGTGGAGTATCAAGTATTGTAAGAGCTGCACACGAAGTCAGAAAAAAAGTTAATTCGAATAAACCAGTGAAAATCGGTAATGCATTATACTTGCATCCATATGCTGGGAAAAAGAAGGATGGTGGATTCTATTTGAAACATCAAAAAAACTAGCATTGACACTACCCAAGCGACGTGCACTCAGCGATTTAGATATTATAAAATATGCTGAGTCATTCGGAATCAGTCATTTCNATAAAATATGCTGAGTTATTCGGAATTAGTCATTTCCGCGGTGTCTTTTCAAGAGATAAGTTGCCTGTCAAGCCCAAAATATACGAGAGTGAAGTTGTTAATTTGAACATTGACCGTGGGAAAGGAACGCATTGGGTAGCGTATTTTAAGAAAAGCAAGGACGTGATGTATTTTGATTCTTTTGGAAATTTACCTCCTCCGCTGGAACTTGAAAAATATTTCACCGGATTGCGCGTGAAATACAATTATAATCAGAAACAAAAATATAACACAAACGTTTGTGGCCAGCTGTGTTTAAAATTTTTAAAATCACAATGCTCAAATCGCTGACCCTTACGCTGCATGACACAACGTCGGAAGTCACATCAAGTTTTTTTCCACCGATAGAATTCAGTGGAGCACCAGAGTTTGCGTTGTTGGGATTTTACAGATGTAATTCAATACCTAATATTGACAAGTCAAACAATACATTCACTTTGATAAATACAAATAACGAGCTTCTTGAAAATAACATAGAAATTAAAGTGCCTGAAGGCACTTATGAACTTGAAGACATTAGTAAATATCTAGAAGAACGTCTTCAGTAGTATAAAATCTCATTCATGTTGAAGGCTAATAAAAACACTTTAAAATCAGATTTAAAGTGTAGCCGACAGATAGATTTTAGCGTTAAAAATAGTATAGGTGGTATTTTAGGCTTTCATCGAAAAATACTCGACGCAAATAAAATACATATATCGGAACAAGTTGCTAACATAAATAATTTAACTAGTATAAAAATAAATTGTAACGCTGCTTATGGCGCATTTGACAACGGAATTCCTAGTCATACGGTTCACGAGTTTAATCCAGGAGTGGNAACGAGTTTAATCTAGGAGTGGCAGCTGGTTGAAAATCCTAAAATTTTGATATATTATCCATCAATATCCAATCAATTATACTCTATAACTATGAAAATAACAGATCAAGACGATAAAGCAATTAACTTAAGAGGTGAGCCTGTTACCATACGTTTACATATACGCGATGGCTCTTCGATTCAATAAAACCAAGAGTAATATTAAAAAAACCGATCATTAAACAACGACTAGTTGAAGAGATACGACGTGGAAACCTTGACATTCTATCTGCTTTGGGATATACAATTAACAATGGACGATATTTTAGAAGTAATGGAAACACCAATGAAGACCGCATAGTGAAATTGGATTATTTTTCCTATCAACCGTTTTCGGTTAGCGCACTATCAAATAATGATGAGATACGAATNACACTATCAAATAATGCTGAGATACGAATATGTATTCTACAGCAAGATGTTTACACCCTTCCATGTGATTCCTATCTCTTGATAGATGGAGAATTCTCGGGAGTTCCTGCTGGCTCAGATGTACAATTGGTTAACAATTGGCTAGCTCGCTGCTTCACTGAAATAAGATATTTATTGAACTCAATAGAAATAGATAGATCGCGTATGCTTGGGATAATGTCTACAATAAAAGGATACGTCACTTTTTCACCGAATGATCATACACGGTTTGAAAATGCTGGCTGGAGTGTTGTAACTGCAAATACGAGTATGAAATTCGAAGTATGCATACCTCTAAGGTTATTATTAGGATTTGCCGAGGATCATAAAAAAGTCATCGTTAATTGTCGTCAAGACTTAATATTGCAACGGAGTGGTACAGATTTAAACTGTATTTACTCGACAAATGAAAATTTATCAAGTTGTAAAATTATTTTGAGCAAAGTTATATGGAAAGTTCCACATGTAAGTGTGTCGGATGCCATGCGGTTAGACATGCTCAAAATCCTGGAAACCTCAACACCGCTTCAAATAGCATTTCAAAGTTGGGATCTATATGGAAATCCCGGCCTACCAAATAGTAAAAGACAAGCCTGGACTGTGAAAACTTCATCGCAGACTGAGAGCCCGAGATTTGTTATTGTAGCTTTTCAAGTGGATAGAAAAAACAAAATAAACAAAGATAGTAGTAGATTTGACCATTGTTCGTTATCATCTCTAAAAGTATACTTGAATTCGGAATCGTACCCCTATGATAACTTGCGAATGGACTTTTCAAATGATAAGTATGCTGTACCATATCACATGTACACTCAATTCCAAGAGGCGTTCTATGAAAAGGAGATGGCGTGTCCTATGCTGACAAAAACAGAATTCAAGACAACTGCACCACTCATTGTCATTGACTGTTCGAGGCAAAACGAAAAATTAAAAAATGCGCCAGTAGATATTAGATTAGAATTTGAATCTGATGAAAATTTTCCGACCAACACTACAGCATATTGCTTAATTGTACACGACAAAATGTTTGAATATAATCCTATGACTAATGAAGTTCATAAAATATTATAATTTNAATATTATAATTTGTTTTTTTTTTCAAAACAATAATGATTACTTAAATATATATTTGACTATTAAAAAAAATGTGTTATTTATTTTAGTACCTTATCCTTATTATATTTCATTTATTTATTACATAAATCAAAAGCAGATAGATTAAATACTATGTAAAAATAAATGCATATGAGAATGATCGTTACTGTACGGTGGTACCTTTGATGTTGGAAATACGCTTACCTAAGCGTCTGGTAGCTGAAGATAAAATTCTTAGAAAACATTGTTAGTTTATTAAATACAGGTTAACCTGTATAAAATTTTTCCCAAAAATTACAGACGATTATAAGCGATATAATATAATGATACCTTTGATGTTGGAAATATGCCATGTGGTGTCATTTTTATCATAAAATGCATACGACAGTGATCGTTACTGTACGGTGGTACATTTGATGTTGGAAACATGATCACCTAAGAGTCTGATAGCCGACAATAAAATTCTTAGAAATAATTTGTACATTTAATATTAATAACACACAGACAGCGACGCAATTGTTCTCATATAAAATTACAGACGCTTATGAGAATTATACTATAATTATACCATTGATGTCGGAAATATAAAATTCTTAGAAAACGTTAGGGTTTCATCCTCTCCCTCGCCCCTCACCATTCGGTTAGTTTACGTAAGGTTTCATCTTCTCCCTCCCCCCACCGTTAGGTTAGTTTACGTAAGGTTTCATCGTTCTCCACCACCATTGCATTAGGTTAGTTTACGTTGGGTTTAATCCCCCCGTACACTTCCTCCACCACTAGGAAGGTGAGTGGGTGAGGCGGTGAGGGGGAACCAGCTCTCTCCAAACTATTATACCTAGTAAAACCTATTCGAGCGTCACAAATAGTAGGCGATGATCAAATTTCAGTAAAAATCACAACGTCATTATTATTATTAACAGCTACGTTACAATTAGGAGATTCGATTTTACTATTTAAACCTCTGACATTTTAGTTTTGCTTTCATCCAATTGTTTAATACATTTTTGAAAAAATTGCGTTGTATTAACGTACGATTAGATAAAACTCTCAAGAAACTAAACTTATTAGTAATTCGATATTTATGCTTCCGTTTTAGAATACTAAAAACCTCAGCAGGATAAGAAAGCTGGACTCGAATAGAACGACACTTACTAGATGTTTTAGCCAAACGTAAATTTTTTTTTTGGCTTTATATCAACATAAAGTTCTTTAATAAACATAAAACATTAAATATTTCATTAACAAGAATATTATCAGCAATGCCTACTGTAACTGCTAGTTCAGGGTTATTAAAAATGATAATATTGTTGCTTTTTAATACTGTTCTGAAATTTCAGACATAATAGGAATAGTAAAAAAAAAACAATTTTATCTTCAATAATATTAAGTCAATAATTGGATGATTTAATATCGTCAAATAGAGAATTTATTTGTAAAAAAATTTTATCAAATTTCTTACTTAACGAGGTAGATAATTTGTCGTGTTTTAAAATAGTAGCTTTAATCTCTTCTAATGAGCTTAAAATGACATCAATTTTATCAACCATTGTAAGTGATAAATTTTGTTTTGCTGTACAGTTACCAATTCGGCAAAATTCGCAAGTATGACAACCGATTGTCATATTAATAGCTAGACGGCTGATATCGAGAAAGACACGGGTGAGCACCAAGCTAGAGCAAAAGGCGGTGCCGTGTCAAATGAAAATTCTTTATGATTGATAAATTAAGAAAAACATAATTAAAAGAAAAAAATTTCTTTTAAATATTGCTTTTATTTTTTGATTAAGTAAATAATATGATATAATTTAATGTTAAAAGAATATTATGCATAACGAGGATATTTTTTTAATGTGGCTAGTATCCTGCCCTACATCATGAAATGAATAAATTGGTTTATCGTCAAAATTAGAAAGAAAAATCAAAATAAATATTAATAGAGAGATATCAACAAAAATAAATATGTAGATATCAATACATTAATCTAATGTCATACAATCATAAATTATGAGATCAAATTATTTTTGAATGTAAATGACAATGTAGTGGCATAACGTAGATAATATTTGATAGTGATTAACATAACTATCATAAAAAACACTTCGAAGTAAATATTATAATAGTGTTATATTTAATGCTAGCTGCACACTCTCGCCGAGGCAGCGCTAGCACGAGAGTGTAGTCGGTTCACTCGTGTCGTCTCGTCTTGCCTCGTGCGCGCTCCACTCCGAGTCGGTATTTTGGTCGCGAGTCAAAAGACAACAAGACAACCGATCGAAACTACTGAGTGAGTCACGAGACTGCACGAGAGTGTAGACTGTTCATTCGTGCGCTGCTTCGCCTCACGTTAACTCGACAAGACTCTCGACAAGGCGACCTCGCGAGAGTGTGGAGCTAGCATAAAAAAGAAGTTATGAGCTATTCAAAAGCAAAATAAACTACAATTTCCTTAATAATATAGTGATTATAAGTAAACTTGAAAATATTAACTTTTTGTGTAAAATATGTGATTTTAAACACCCCTGTAGGCAGGTAAAGGGTCAGATTTTCAAAAAAAATATTCCAAATAAAAGGAAAATACCAGAGGTATTTATAAAAAAAAAGTTTGTTTGACTCATCAAATTTTAAAATGTTATGGAAATTTTAAATGTCAAAATAACAACATGATAAACGATGATTTTTAACACAAAAATAGCATGTTTTTAAGTATGACGACCATTTACACATAGAAGATAAGGTATAGGGACAATTTTGATTTTAACTTATACAATATATTATGAGCTTTAATTTAACATAAATTTAAAACTCTGAATATTTCTGAAATATTTTCAAAAGTCAACTTTTCTTGTGAAAATCGTTATATTGAATTCCCCCTATGGTCAATTTAAAAGTCTGATTTTCAAAAAAAAATAATAATAGTAAAATAGAAATATCTTAGGTATTTTATTTAAAATTGTTTATTCCATTTTTAAGAAAATAATGACAATTTTTAATTAAGTTAATATAAAAAATGTCGAAAAGTAGAGATTTAAAAAATTTTAATTTTTTGAGGATTTCCTTTATTTACAGATAACGAGAGAAATTTTTTCAATTTTTGAGGATTTTAAACTAGATACAGTTTGCAAAATCAACATTTAATTGGTTTCGCATCAAAGCTAAAATATTAATAAATGGTTTTTATTTTTCATGTATGAAAAATAAATTGATCATAATATTTATGAAATGCGTTTATTAATCAATAATAACCAAATTCATTGACTTAATAAATTGTTTCCATTGATTAAATGAACGATCGTTTATGAATCAATAAATTTATTCATTACGCTAGCTCCACATAAAAAAGAAGTTATGAGCTATTCAAAAGCAAAATAAACTACAATTTCCTTAATAATATAGTGATTATAAGTAAACTTGAAAATATTAACTTTTTGTGTAAAATATGTGATTTTAAACACCCCTGTAGGCAGGTAAAGGGTCAGATTTTCAAAAAAAATATTCCAAATAAAAGGAAAATACCAGAGGTATTTATAAAAAAAAAGTTTGTTTGACTCATCAAATTTTAAAATGTTATGGAAATTTTAAATGTCAAAATAACAACATGATAAACGATGATTTTTAACACAAAAATAGCATGTTTTTAAGTATGACGACCATTTACACATAGAAGATAAGGTATAGGGACAATTTTGATTTTAACTTATACAATATATTATGAGCTTTAATTTAACATAAATTTAAAACTCTGAATATTTCTGAAATATTTTCAAAAGTCAACTTTTCTTGTGAAAATCGTTATATTGAATTCCCCCTATGGTCAATTTAAAAGTCTGATTTTCAAAAAAAAATAATAATAGTAAAATAGAAATATCTTAGGTATTTTATTTAAAATTGTTTATTCCATTTTTAAGAAAATAATGACAATTTTTAATTAAGTTAATATAAAAAATGTCGAAAAGTAGAGATTTAAAAAATTTTAATTTTTTGAGGATTTCCTTTATTTACAGATAACGAGAGAAATTTTTTCAATTTTTGAGGATTTTAAACTAGATACAGTTTGCAAAATCAACATTTAATTGGTTTCGCATCAAAGCTAAAATATTAATAAATGGTTTTTATTTTTCATGTATGAAAAATAAATTGATCATAATATTTATGAAATGCGTTTATTAATCAATAATAACCAAATTCATTGACTTAATAAATTGTTTCCATTGATTAAATGAACGATCGTTTATGAATCAATAAATTTATTCATTAAAACAATGAACCTGTGTTAGTTAATATAATGAACTTTTGTTCATTTATACAATGAACTTTCGTTCATTTATACAATGAACTCATATTCATTAATACAAACATTTTGTAATTTTTAGAACCCTTATTTAAGTTTTCAGTGAGTGCTGGGCCACTCTGTGTATACTTTGATTTTAATACAATAATTATATTTAAATAAATAAGGAATTTTTTAAAAAAATTCATAAATGTCGATTTTTTTCACCGTAGTATTGCACTATCCGATAATGGAATAGACAGTAAATGGAAGTCATTTTTAGCGAAAATGGTAATACTGACACAACCCATTTTTTTATGATTTAAAAAACCTTTTATATTCTTCGGAAAGGTGCTAAAATTGTTACACAATGCTTGGCAATCCTCCCAAAAGATTAAAAAGAAAATAGTGCAGAGATCTTCTTACCCTACAATAATTAAAATTCTTAAAAAATATATTAATAATAACTTAACTACTAAATAATATCACCTCAAAAAGAGTTTTGTCGGTTGTCAGCTTCTCTTTTCAAAATAATTAAGTCAAAAAAATTATTATCATCTTTTATANTTTGTCGGTTGTCAGCTTCTCTTTTCAAAATAATTAAGTCAAAAAAATTATTATCATCTTTTATACTTATTGTACTAATATTGTATAGATTGTATAACTCAAATAAAGAAATAAAAAAAAAAAAATTCCTTAGAATTTTTCAGGTATTTATAATTAATTGATATCAGTTTATATTATAAAATTAATGACAACCAAAAGTCAAATAATATAAATAACATATAATTAGCAATAATATTAATTAATAATTTTAAATTAATTATAGGTTTAAAAATTCATCTAAAAAAACTAATACACTCTCATATGATTATATGAGACCTCATATGATTATATAAAACCTAACCCCTCTATTTCCCTAAATATATTATTTGATTATTTACAAAATTTATGTAATCAATTTGGCCAAAATAATTTTTTTTAATATAACTTTTTTTTGTAATTGATTGAGTGGGTTATGTTAAATAGATCACGCTATATATTGTTTAAATGGTAAAAATAATATATACATAATTTTGGTTGATGAATACATTTTTTTGTTTAAGTTAAATTCACATTTTAAAATTAAATAAATTAATTCACAATGATAAATCATAGTGTAAATATTAAATATAATCATTACAAATCTTGATTTATAACACTCAAATTGGCATTAAATTATTAGAAGAATCCTTGCGCTAAAATCCTAATTTCTGCGAAATCCACATTTTTACATTTTTGGTAGAAAACACTTTTGCTTTTAATTTGATGAATACTTAACCCAAAAACGTGTTTTTCTTGGTACATACTTAATAACTTTTTATATTGTGATACATTGTTCTCGATCTAATCTTTTCAATTAGCAACTACTAGTAAATTCTTATTATAATAAATTGTACTAATGCGTAACAAATATGTTATGCATGTGATATTTATAAATCAAGTCAATATATTAACTTATTTTATAAATATCATGTACTAAAATGAGAAAATGTTAAAAAACATATAAATTCCTTTTATTAATAAAAATACATTTATATACATATACGTATTTTTTAATTTAAGTATTAGTCTGAATTACAAAATAAATATTTTTTCACTTACTAAATCCATTTATAATGAATGATGTTTTCATTAACAATATTTGTAACATTTAATATTACTGGAAAAATTATACACAACTATGTAATTATTACTTTTAAATTCATGAGCTATTGACCCTTCCATATATGCAAATAAGTATATTTACCTGTCGGTGTTACCGAAAAATGAATAAAATTCCCTGTACTAATGAAGAATCATAAAAGCATGATTGATTATTTAAATATTATTTGTAGTATACAAGTTCACTTATGATATAAAAATTTAATAATATAATAAAGCATTCACGTATTTATTTCAACTCACCATAGAAAACAGTATGTACTATTTAATAATTTTACTTATTTATATATTCTAGCTTTTTTATAAAAATAAAAATATTTGTAATGAGTTATTTTTATATATTTTTAATTGTTGTATTGTAACTTCATTAAATTAAAACTAATACTAAAATTTAATTTACTTTATAATTTTTTCCTCCATTTAAAGAGCTTATAAAACTATTAAACATTAATTGTTACAAATATTTTTTTTTTAATTTCTTATTTATTGGAAAAATTAACTTCAATTCAAAATAACATTAAATATTTATAGTCTTGACTATAAAAAGTATTACATAAGAAGAATTCAAAAAAAAATTGAGTTTTTGTCGATCAATCTAATTATAATTATACATTTTTTATGTTTTAATTGTTTTAGAGACAATACATATATTTATATAACTATGTTGAATATGATTTCAAATAATTTAAATTGTATTATGAAAAACGCTTTAGATCAAATATCAATTATATTAAGGGAAGAACTAAAATTCGGTAAGTTATAAAATGGTATAATAAAATGTAAATTCTGTATTCGTAAGCCCATTGTTAACTATTTATTTAATAAATAAATTTTAAAATATCTTTTTTTAATAATTAATCAAACTATCATTTTTGTGCCAAATTTTGATTTTTGAAGGAAGAATTAGGAGAAGTATATGACATGTAAAAAGTATAGATTTTATGAAAAAGAACGTGATGCTGATTAAACGAGGAAAGTAATAACAATAAATAATGATATGATAGGTGAGATAGAAGGTTTTAAATGCTTAGGATCATTTGAACAAAAAAAAAGAAGGTATTGACGAGGATGTCATATACAGGATATAACTGCAGATGGATCAAGTGGAAAGAAGCGCCTGAAGCTTTATAAGATAAGAAATCTCAATGAGGCTAAATAATAAATTCAAAAAGATTGTAAAATTATGTTGTATGAGTTAGAGACCCACTCTTAGGTTTCGAGTTTTGGGTTTTTAACAAGAAAAAAGATTAGAAAATGAATGTAGTAGAGATAAGAATGCTTATAGATAGATGAGTTGAGTAACGAGAGAAGATATGTAGAATAAATATGTAAAGCATGGAAGTTTAGAAGTAGCGTCAATCTAGGATAAGATGATAGCAAATAGGCATAGATAGTTCGGTCATACTCTAAGGAGAGAGAAATCAGAAGCTATAAGAACGATTATGGAAATGAACGTTGAAAGAAGAGGAAAACTGAAAAATAGATAGTTGATGTGATTAGGAGTTATATGTTGTTGGATACGCATTACGAGAGAGCGTTTTGCGACATCTTATTTTTATGACTGATAACGTGTCTCGCACTACCACCACCGGTTGTGTGAGCGATTAATTACGTTGGATCCTTACGTGCGTGATTCTTGTGACTCACCTAGTTATTATCGGTCCTTGTGTGCATTTTCGCTGCCATCCTAGTTCGTTTTGTTGTATGGCTCTATGGTGCTTGCGAGCACGTAGTTGTTAAAACGCCTATATATCGCCCTTGAGATTGTCGCACCTTTGTGTGTCATTGTTTTGTCGCCCTTGCCATACGCTCATACACTTATACTCATAATATAGCGATACGCTCCTACTATTCGCGACAATACATTTTGTCTGGTTCAATGATCATGCCAACGATTTCATTCGCATCAACCAGTCATCATCAGTATCAGTAAAAATAGTTATTAATTATATTGTTTTGTCTTATTTTTATCTTATTATTTGTTTTATTTTACGCATTGTTGCATTAGCATTAAGAGCCCCCCTACCCACATTGATATATATAATATTTTAGTTTATGTTAAAAATACAGTTTATTGTTTTATATTTTTTCAATACATTTACTCATTTATACAGCCTACTCCCTACTTCTTTCTCCTGCATGATATATATTCTCCAGAAACGAACAGTAACTAACCCGCACATTATCACCGGGCGTTTTGTTCAAACATAAGTAGTGTTGGTGTGTGAAAAAATGATGTGGGAAATCTTGTTATGTGGAGGTTAAGGATACGATTGGCCAACCCAAAGTAGTTGGGTTAAAAGAATAGAGGAAGAATAAGAAGGTATGGCTATGATAAATACTATATTTAATTAAAAACAACTTTTTAATTGATATAATGGTAAGAAAATAAATTCACTAACTTAAATCTAAATTTTGGTGGCACTTGGTGCCAACAACTGAACATTTTACCCAATAAAATATTACATCATAAAATTGAAACCAGTGGTATTTTTTTTGATAGGGGGGACATTGTATGCCCACTAGTATTTTAGCTTCGATGCGAAGCTGAGAAGGTATTAATTTTACCATGATGTGTTTATTTTTTTTTTTTTTT